GATTTTTTTTATTTAGCGGTATGATTCTTGAGTACTTAGCTTATTTTGTGCCACAGGCACGCATTCGGTGCTCTTTTTTTAATAAAAGGTTTGGGCTGTATTTATTTCACCATTTCATTATTAATCTTTTCTACCCCATACATACAGCCCAAACTCTTTTATTACTTTTTTTTTAGATTATCAACAAAAATATATATAATGCTACTATTTCTCTTCTCGCTACTAAAAATTTGTTGCCTAAATGTGAGCCAAATTTTTAACTGAAATTAATCTTCAGGTATGTACCTAAATTTTATACATATAGCTATATAAATGATGTATACGTTTTATTCATCTCTCTAGAACAATTTAGTTAGTCTTACTAGTTTTGTTATTTGTGTTGGAAAGATATTGGATTTCGGAAATCTAATCCTGTTGAAAGACAGATACACGGCTGGTTTCAGCATTCAATAGTGTGATCATATGATCTCTTTTGGAATGACAATTGTGAAATGATTCACAAAAATTATGATTGGTGGTAATGATTTAAGTATTTTTATTCATTTCTTTATTTTTAACCAATTAAAAAGTTAAATTGTCTATTCCCAGAGGATTGGTTTCAGTGTGATCTTGCACAACTATGAAATACCAAAATTACAAGAAAGTTAAATTAACATTAGTTTTTACAAATAATTTTCATCATATTGCATTAATAATTAATCTCTCTGAATTTAGATTTATAAAAATGTGATCATTGTAATGATGATTGTGCTTAATTATGTCATTTTTTATTTTTTAATTATAAAGTGTAATAATATGAAATTAATAGTTATAAGTATAAAGCATATTTAAATTTGACAATATGAGCTGTTGATTGCAAAGGTGGTAGGTAATTTTCAAAATAATTAATTATTGGGTGCATTAACTTCTTCATGTCTTTAAATAGTCAGATATACTTAAAACTGAGAGAAAATATGATATTATTTTTTACTAAAAAATACCAATTATTATTCTCTACCTGTATATATAACTTATCTATGCAATTTCACACTGAGACCAAGGATATGGGAACAAACAATTTGACATTTTAATTAGTATATTATTATTCTATAAAACTTCCCATAAGTGTTAAATATCTTAAAGCTTCACTTTTTTTTTCTTAAACAATTTCATGTTTTCAGTGGTTCAAATAATATAAGTAACATCAAATAAAGTTTCAACATGTTTAATAGCTGTATTAATTTTAACTATTAATACCTCTTAATAGTTGTGACTGTAAGTGTTGAAAGTATGAGGCACTCCTAGTGGATACCACTTTTACCCCTTTACGGTATATTGTCTCTCCTAATACCAGTATCATTATCCAACTTCTGACTGCCAGGACATCCTGTGCATCTCTTGCTACACCATTTGAGCTTTGTTCTTCCCCTTCTCCTAATGCCTTAGAGAGGTTCCGTCAGGATCATCTTAGGGACTACTTCATCCTCCATCCTAGCCACGTTGCCAGTCCACCTCAATTTTCCAAGTTTCATTCTCAGAACATCTTGTTAATTAAAAATTGCGTAAATTTCAGTCTTTGTGCACCTTCTCCAATTTCCATCGATCTGTACTCCTCCAAATATTCTTCAAAGAACTTTCCTCTCAAAGACTAGGTCTTACTCAGCTTTTTCAGATGCATACAAAAGAATTGGACGAATTAATGTTTTGTAAAGAGGAAGCTTGGTCTGCCAGGAGAGAAGGTGCGAAGTGAATTTCTTGATAAGGACAAGATACCACTTGTTGGCCATCAATATCATTTTCTTGACCTCAACCTCCGGTGCATTGTCATGAGTCACCGGTGACTCCAAATACTTCAACTGGGAACCCTTTCTTCAGAACGTTGAAGGGACTTCGGCATCAAATATGGATAGTCTCTCCAGGTCAGGTGACTTCTCCTGTAGCCATATAGGTAGTTTTGCCTTCATTCGCTTCTAGTCCAAGTGCTCTGGCAGACTCCAACAGAGCTAACCACTGTTTTCTCAAATTAGCAAAATTCTAATTAGCTCTTTAGGGATCATGTAATGATTGTTATCCTATTTATCTTCAAAAGAGATTAGCTGCCAGGTTTTTTTTTATGAATATAATTGATATTAGGGTTTTTTGATGATTTTAGGCAAATGTTATATTGCATGCAATATTAATTATAGAAAAGGTAACCAATGCATCACCAAAGGCAAGATACCCATGGTGCCGACGCCACGAGCCTGTTGAAAAAACTGTATTAAACATTTTTTGTTGCTTTAAGCTATACAAAAGAGAGTGGGGTAGCTAAGTGAGTATGACACTTTGATCTTATTCTACTGGGCCCTGGTTCAAGTACCAGCCGTCTATTTGCTCTTATTTTCACTGTGGATCAACACTGGATTCAGAAAATCTGGCAGTCTAGCATGATCTCAGTCAAATCACCTGCTTGCATAACTATGAGCCTAAAATTAGTATTTTCTCAAATTGTTCTCGTATACTCATTACTCTTCATGTTTTTTTCAAGCCGTATAGATGATTTCTTGAGTTTTGCCATTAAGAACTGAAAAATTACCTATGTTTTATCATCGATTTGTGAATAGGTATAATTTTAAATACATATCTCACACTAATTTTTATATTATAAATTTGGTAATTATTAATATTACTTTAATATAAAGTACTTTTCATTGTTATATATCAAAATTTATTTGTATTTTTTTTTCAGGCATCTAGTTCCTAAAACTTCATAATTCAACAAAGCTTTGGGCGTAAGCTTTCACATTAAGTCTGTGGATTCAAAAGCTCTATAAGTATCCAATATGATACTTTAATGAAATTGTTATCAATAGACATATTTATGGCATCCATTTTTTTGCTTTTATACATTTATTGTTAAAACAAGGCATTAAATGAGGATTCAAAAACTACACATCCATCTATTACTATGTAAATGAATTTCTTTTTTAATAAATATATTTATAGTGATCTTGTTTTTCTGTCTTACATTTATTATTTAAAATAAATCCTTAAATGACGGACCAATTGTTTTTGAAACATTTCTGTGCAATATTCAGCAGTTATCAGAATTTATGGATGTAACTAGTTAACCTTTAATATAATTCAAGTTATAAATTATAAACAGGCAAGATCAATGTATAATTGATTAATTAAATTTACAGTTTGTTGATTAATTTTGCTTCTTTTTTTTTTTTATCTCTAATGTGTTATTCCAGCTAGTGGATTCTGTTTAAAACATAATAATGGGTGTAACATAAATCATGTAAAGTAATAAAATCCATTAAAGTAATAAATCTTAAATGCAAAAGAAAAGTTCATCTGGACCATATTATAATTTATATAAATACTTAACTGATTTCAGTAAAAAATTGTTTTAAGTAGTGTTAGAATTATATGGCAATGTGCTAATAATACGTCTTAGCAGTCTCATAAGTTAGGTAACAATTGTTGTCTATTCCAAACATTCTCTATAAAATATATTTATACAATATTAATACAAATTTAGAATTCACAATTACATTTGGGTAAGCCCTAAAGGTATGAAAAATCAGATTGACCATGTGCTGGTGTATTGAAAGCTTCATCCAAGATATGAGAAGCTATAGTGGATCCAACAGTTTGGCTTTGATTTATACCAATCATTGTCTAGAATCAAACACTATCACAGGTTGAAATCAAATGTGATATATATGTTGATCACAGGGAGCAGGGTAGCTCAGTGGTAGGGCACTAAGCTTCCGTTGCTGAAGGTCCCAGGTACGAATCCCGACTCGTGGCAGAAAAATTATTTATTCTGTTTTTTATTGGCCGTGGGGTGACTCCGAGGTAGGGAGACCCTCCTGGGGCACACCCAGTCTCTATAAAGTGGGTACCCTTATTTAAATAAATGATTAAGGGGGATAAATAAGTGATGATGGTTGAGCGTGATCCTGGCCCGATCCCCTCTCTGCACAACCGTAGGCCTAGAAACTGTACTTTCCCTTAATAGTACTGAACCCAAGACCCCTCATGGGTTGTAGTGGTACAGGATAATATATATATATCTATTGTGCCTGATCTATATATATCCAGGGCGATCATCCCCCCCCTCTTCTCTCTCCTCCAAGTCTGCATGTATAGTGACAAAGCAAAAGCTTATTAATTTGATTTGATGAAGTTTATCAATACAAGGTACCACTGTAAAAATGTCACTTCATCTTGTCTAATGTACTTGTTACTTATTTTTACTTTTTAAATTTAAGAAAAGCTTATTGTTTTAATTAAATTTACTGTTTATACTTTTTCTTATTTTATAATTCATTTTTGCTGCCACTCTTCATGGTTGAAAAAATAGAGGAAAAGGAACTACTGAGAGGAAAGGATAATAAATTGTAAACATTTTGTTGGAAATTATGTATAATCCTATTCCAAAGTAAGTTTTATTTCACTCATCAGAATAAATTCCTTATAAGACTGGAAATACTACATAAAAAATAAAAAAGCATAATTTCTTGGATGCGATGTAATTTATTGAAAATTTATAACTCTGCATCCGTTACTACTTAAGGATTTATATCCCTTTACATCCAGGCAGGGACAATTAAAAGTATACATAGATAAGTAAGGCTTAAAAGTTCTCTAATTTAAATTAAAATGCAGTTCAGTTATTGATGAGTATGGTAACTTTGGTTACATCAGTGGTTGTCCAATATATAACTGAAAGTTTATTTTCTGAAACGATCGTTGTTAAGGAGATGTAATGAAAGGGAGAAGTAATATTTCGATTAAATTTTTATAAGCTAAGCTATAAAAATAATTCTTGAGATACTTTATAGTCTTATTAAAAAGTAATAAATATTTTAGTAGACAGAAAAAAATTATATAAAAATACACCATAGTCATAGTAGTTACTGGAATTTATTTATATACATATATATTTATATAACTAAAATAAAAGCTATATATTTTTAATGATTAACAAGGGTACTTTGAGGGGAATAATAAACGTAGTATTTTTAAAATCAACAGGCTAATCCAGCTTTTTGTCTACACTTTTGCATCAAAGCACGTAACATGAATTGTTTGCGAGATAAGGTTCGAATTTGTTTTAAAAATACATCTAGATCAATTACTCCTCTCCTTAAAGCTTCCCCTATGTAATATATAGTGTCTTCGAGGGCTGCTTCTTCAGCATATGTATTCAGTATCCTAAATAATATAAGCATTTAAAAAAATTGATAATACAATAATAAAAACATTATTAATAAAATATTGAAACATTAAAATGAAATGAAAAGTATATTACTGTTTGTAAAGAGGTGTTGTAGTGGTCACAGCTTCATCTACATCAACTTCACCTTGTTCTCCTATTTCAGCAATAGCCTTGTCAAGTTCAGCATCCTTTTCCTTGAGAACGTTTATAGTCCTCTCAAGTTCCAACTGAAGAAAATCATAATAACAAAAAAGAACAAAGAAAAATTTAACAACACAATAACTAAAAAAATAATAAATTACCTTTTCTTTTTTTAACTTTTCAATAATAGCATCAAGTTTTGCTTTACCATGAGTTAGTTCATTTGCAGTATGTTGCAAAATATCCAATTCGGCTTTAGACTGACCTAAATGCTCTTGTAGTCTTTGTTTTATCTTGTGTTCCAAAGCGGACATAAGTGATTCACGAATGTGAGCATCAGTAATTGTACCAGAATTACCACTCTGAAAAGATAAAAATAAAGGAGACACTTGTTTTTATAGCTTTTTAAAATTCAAACACCAAAATTACTTTTTTTCCTCTAGAAAAAAACAGTTATCAAGAACTTGATATTCATTGTACATATGCTTTCTTATCTTCCAATAAACTTAATTATTAGTCATTTAAATATACAAAAACATCAATGAAGTATTCTCAAAATAACTGTAATATAAGCATCATTTTAAATTAAAATTGAAATAATTAATCTTCTGGTCAAGTCAATCAGTATTCCAAGAGAAAATGATAGGATACAGAAAGCAGTGGAAAACATTTTTTTTGGTGTTAGATGAAGTAGAAAAAAAAAAAAGAATTAGTGGGTTCATGAAATTAAATCAAGACGACTCACCTTTGGAAATTATCACTTATCACTTTTTCTCAGAACTCTTGATAATAAAAAAATCTTTTGAGTTAAGGAAAAATCATAAATTGTTTTAGAATCTCACAATACAAATTCATTCAAAACTGAATTTCTTATACTAATTAGTCCAAATATAAAAAAATAAGAAACTGCTTTCCTTCAATTACTATCTTGTGAGGAACTGATAGCCATATCTCAGTCAAAAACTAAATAACTGTCAATAAGTATTATATATAATATAAAAAATATCTGGTGTGTCCACTCACACGACTTTCCTACCTATTTCAGAAATGTTTTTATATCTTTATATATGTCCATCAAGAAACAAACAAAAAATTTAATTAGATTTATATTCCTGAAAATTGATCAAAGAAAAGATTTGAGTATGATTTATTTGATTAACTAAAGCAATGTAAACCAGCTTAAGGTAGATCAGTGTAAAAATTTCAATACTATCTAATATTCATGATTAAAACTTTTTGCCACAGCCTAGTTTTGTCAAACAATAATTTCTGTTAAAAGTAGTGGAAATAGTGAAGCTTGTGTGATGCAACAAATTTTCTTACTTTCACTTAGTTATCTTTTTTTTTCTCATTCGCCGCTTTCTGACACCAGAATATGAACCTGTAATCTTACATGTAAATTCAAGAAATAACTTTTTAACTTACAGGTACTGCAGGTGGAGATGCTTGTGGCATGTAATGTTGTGTTGGTGTTGGAGGAGGTCGAAGAGGGGTAGGAGGCATTTGTGGATAAGGTGTGTTCCCATACTGAGGCTGGGGATATTGAGTAGGAGTAGGAGTTGCAGGATATGCCGGATAACAGCTTCCTGGCATTGGCATATAACCTGAAAGTAATAAATAACTAATCAAACAGAAGACTTTAATTATTTAAAAACTATAACAGTAAAATTTTAAAAACAAATAAATAAAATTAATATCATTACTTGGTTGTGTTGGATAAGGTGTGCTATCAGTTCGTGGTCTTGCAAAAACGGGAGGGTATTCTCCGAAAGCACATATCATAACAATAATAAGCCCCAATAAATCAGAAGATGACTAAAACATATTTTTAGAACCATTAAATAATATTGTTTAAAGCTTATTTAAAATGTTAAATAATATAATTTTGTATTTATAATTGAATGAATATACTAAAAAATATTTAATTAAAATAATGTTATATTCAGTTCTTTTCATCACTTATTCCATTTAAAAATCATATATGAAAAGTTAACCTATCATTGATGAATAATTAATTTTGTGTTTATAATTAACAAGTAATTTGTAAAGAAATGCTTATTTCAGGCCACTAATTATTAGTGCTACTATAGGGCTTCAATGCCAGAGACGGGTGGGCGAGTATTCAACCTGAGGTGAGACGGACTTAAATAAACTGATGATAACCTAAAAGGCTTCTGGAAACTAATAACTGGTAGTAAAAAACCAATGACTGCGATCAGTAACACAAATAAAATATAAACATCCTTATATAAGAAATATTTACACTTTATTCAGAGATCAAATGTTGCAGTAGCAAAAGTACGTGAGATTTTAATAAGAGGAAAGATGCATAGGAAACAAAAATGGCTCTCTTTGATTCAATGGTCTCCTCAACCCTTCTTTATGTATCCGAAGTTTGGGGCTTAAGATATTTTGAATCGATCGAATTAACTCAAGTGAAATTTCGTTGACAAATATTTTTGGCCCAGATCAACACCTAATTATATAGTATGATTGGAAACCAGACGTTCCCCTGTTTTAATGGCAGTTTTGAAGAAAACTATGAATGTTTGCATGAAAATATGTTCATTGTCAGACCATTGACTTCTGCGAAAGTGTTTGCAAAAACTTGTGGCTATGGACACTAGGCAGCCTAATCTCGGATTCAACTGGATATCATAAGTCAAAAAATTAGCCACTTCTCATTTCGTTCAAGAGTATTTCAATGATTTCTCAGATCCAGAGATATTAATTAAGAACAAAAAAAATATTTTGGCAGTTGTGCCTAAGAACTTATATTCTGAAGACATTGAACACACCTTCAATTCCATCAATAAGGGAATCTGTTGTTATAATTACCAAGAACTGAAAAACTACCTCAAATTTAATGTCCCTCTATGAAAGCTGCGAACAGTGGGTCGTCTGAAAGTTTTGAGTAATGACCTGGTGCTGTATCATGGAAATATCCCTTATATTTTAATGGTTGAAGAAGTTTGTAAGTGTAAGTGGTGAGGTCACCTTATCACTAATGGCATAAAGTATTTGATCCTTGAATGTTCGTTTGTTGAGATTCATAGAAAGAGATATCTCAATAAATATATCAATGCCGGCACAGATGACTTATCGTTGGAGAGAGTTTTGTATAGTAAAAGTATTGAACAATGTGTTTTACACTTTATTGTTCATATTTTTGACTCCCATAGTTTACTTAATAGCCCGTAACTTTAAAACTAATGATTATTCATGTGTTAGTATATCATATAAATACAGTGCATATTTTCTTACCCGTTAAAATGGCAACAAATACATCCCATCATTGCGACCTAAAGAAATATATTTAAGTTTACTTATCACTGTTTCTTATAAAATTTGTAATTTTTTTTTCTGTTTTAACTAAGTTTATTTTTTTGGTGAATCTACAGTGAAACTTAGTTTATATTGATCTGAACAATTTGTTTTATATTAATGTATTTCTCTTTTTTTCTTCTTATGTTGTTATCATGTTTTATATTGTGCCTGTTATTTACAAACTAACTACAACTAACATTCATTGGGCCACACTCCAAGGCTACGCTGTTTATAAGCCAATAAATAAAAAAAATATTTAAAAAAAATCTGTACCACTACAACCCATGAAGGGTCTGGGGTTCAGTACTATTTAGGGAAAGTACTGTTTCTAGGTCAACGGTTGTGCAAGGAGGTGATTTGACCGAGATCACGCTCAACCGCCAGGTTTTCCCCCTTAATTAATTATTTAATTAAGGGTACCCACTTTATAGAGGCTGGGTGTGCCCCAGGAGGGACTCTCAACCTATATATAAGAAATATTATAATTGGTACAAGAGTATTGCACTGAAAAACTATTTGACATATAAAAATATAACTCTTAAAAACAATGAAAAAAAAATCAATTGATTTTTTATCAAATAAAAAAAACGCTGCAAATTATTTCACAATGGCTTATTATTTCCTAACAGTTATACATCTAAAGTAATATTACCTTCCTAGTTACAAAGAAAAATAAATAAAAGGGGATTCCAAATATTGGATAAAACTTTTTTTTTTAATCATTAGTAATATGCTAAAAAACTAGCTTTACTTCAGTAACACATTCAAAATTCAAAAAAAAGGATATAACCTTTGCAGTAACATACAAAAAAAACTAGAGACCATATCTTTGCTCCTAATTGTCCGATTTTAACGAATTTTTTTTTGTTTCATAGGAAATTTCATAAACATTTAAAAAACCATGTACAATATTGACAAAAAGTGTATACTTCGATTTAGCTTGAGATCACATAATGTAAAACTAAACAAATTAAGGATTGCACTCATTTTAAATCTCATAACAAACATTGTAGCTGTCAGATATGCCTGAGAGTTAATATAACACTATTTTAGCATTAATCTGAATATAACTTTACTGGAAGAATGAAATTTATCTATACTGATCAAAAATGAATAGAGGTATTGTTAATTGTGTATAACTTATTTTTCTCAGAATTTGTTATTATAAAATATTTTGAAAATCAACAAAAATAAAATTGTATTTGACCTCAGGAAATTTTATAAAAGGTGCTTTAAAAAAATAATAAAATTAAAAGCTTTTTGTGTTATTGTTGTTATGATTGCAAATTGTAAAATTTAATAATGTGTGTAATATTCTCTGTTATGCATTACTTCTGTGCACTTATTGGAGACATCTTGTTTATAACGTTGTGTACTTGTATATAATGTTGTCACTGATTTCACGAGAAGTTTTATATCATAAAGTTGCTGAAGGTCAAGAAATTGCAGATGGTGGTAAAAAAGCCTTCTCTGCAGTGCACCCCACATGTGCTCAATGGGATTGAGATCGGGAGACTACAGAAAGAGGCAGATGTGAAATGTTCAGATTCCTAAGACATCGATGAACAACTTTCCCCCTATGAGATCGCATATTGTAAATCAAGAAAATGAAAATCAGTGCCAATTGTAGCCCAGGTTTGAGGAATATACCCCTCTGTAATTTTGTTAGTTTACATAGTTTATTTAAAACCTAATTCAACAACGGCACACAAGATATAATAGTGTTTTTTCCATTCTCTATAATAAACTGCAACCTAACAGAGTGAATTTCTTGTAATTAATTCACATAATAAGATATAACATAAGATAACATTACACATAAGATTAATAAATATATTTTTCCTTAAATCAAAAGCTGAAACACATATGAAAAAACGTATAAATACAGTTGCACACAATGCCTTTGACACATTACAGTTCTAGTAAAGGGCAAAATTAGGCCATACAAATTCATATATATTTATATATAAACAAAAAGGAAAAACTGAAAATATCATAAATAAATTGATACTTACTCGGTGCCAATCATGTAAATATGGAAGATAAATTTTTCCACTATGATCAACATACATGGACATTTTTATTTGCATGTCTGGAGTTGGTTTAACATAACATATTGGAGGGGTGTCAGGATGCGTATCCATCAGCCAAATGCATATTGGAATGTTGTATACAGATCCTAAAAAATGAAAGTACTACAAATAACTTTATAAACTTTATTATATTAACTACAAATGAAAGTACAACCAACTAATTTTATAAATATATATATATATATATATATATATATATATATATATTATGAGAAAACTAAATATTTTTAAACTAAAGAATGAACAAATGAAATGAAAATTAATCTGGGTCTATAATAAAATAAATGGGTAAATAAATAAAAAATACTGCTTTGGGAAGACCAAGATTAGTAAACTAAGAATAGGGTTTCGATAAAAATAGAATTTTAACAAGATGTTTTGAATGCAGGGTTTAAATTAGTACTACTGAATAATCCTACTATTATATAACTGTGAATGGTATAACACTCATGAATGAATATGACTTCTAGTATGAAATAAAAGGTTTAACATGTTCTTATATATCATTTTTCTAAAGACAAAATGCTAAAACTAGATCTCTCTATTATATAAAAAGTTTTTAGTGACTTTCATATTTTATTTTATTTTAGTATTAGTAGAGTAGGAGATCAACTTTTCTAGCTCTACTCTGGGTTCAATACTGCTGCTCTCTTATGGCGATTATTTTACAAATTGTATAGATGTTCATTTAATTACAATATGTTCATACTATTCCAATACAAAATAAAGATTTTAGACTAAAAATTTTTATGGAAAATAATATTCATCTGAAGGTGATAAGTTACTTCGGTGACAGCAGTTTCTCGATCAAGACAGTTCTCCTTGAATACAATATATTCATGATTATATTGTATACTTAGCTGATGTACCAGTCGTTGACGGATCAATAGTTAAAATTTGAGAATATTTTTTTGAGATGAATTTTGTATTATGGAAGGGATCCAAATTTAATTTAATAAGATTGGGAGGTTGTTTTGAATTTTTTTATTGGGGGAGGGGGTTATGGAAGTCAAGCTTTTGCAATAATCATAATAAAATTAGAACTTGATCTGAATATTGTGGCGGGAGGGATAAAAGTTTTGGGGGATTTTTTTCTTCTGATTTTTGGCTAATCCATTTGGTTGATCTTAAAAATGTATACAACAACATTTAGGCTTGAAAAGTTGAATCGAATGATTCCTTGAACGGAAACATCAGACAAAGTTGAAAAATGAGTGTGTTTTTGTAATAGAACTGAGGTATGATTATGGTAAACTGGTAGAACAGAAAATTATAGTTTAGGTCAAAGTGAAGAAACTTCTGGTAGCAATATTGTACTTCTGGATTACTGTAGTCGATTTATGTTTGTTACAATTCTACTTTTAAGATACTACCTCTAAAATAAAAAATACTATAATAACAATTAATTTATATTTTAACCCAGTTAAGATAAACTTTTATATATTCTACATATATTTATGCTGATAAACACGATAAAGATGAAAAAACTTAATACAGTCATAGAAAAGTGAGGAGGATCTATGTTGCCAAAGAGATATACGACTGAAGAGGTTGGTTTTGACTGCTGCCTAGCCAAGTACACTTGAAGGATTCCCCAGAAATCGATCTGCCTGCCTTGACATAACAGGTTTTTTGGTGCCAACTTGACCCACTCCTCCTGAAAGTAGTCCCCATTCACATTGCTTGCTGCTAGTATAGATATGGTTTATCTCTTTTGAACAAACATAGGGAGTGGAAATCAAAAGGAGAGTAATTAGGTAAACATAATTAGCATTTGTAATTGAAAAAGAAAAATTGGGTGTGTGAAGGTGTCTTTAATCATGACCGAAATATGGGAAGTCATACTTGATAACCTGTCAATACTTGGAATTCTATTTATAGTATGATCATAATATCTTATGGCTATCCATTAAAGGAAGCAGTACACACAAAGTACAATGATTCGTGATTATGTGTTGGAAAATATAATATTGTGACTATCACATTTTATTAGGTTACTCATTTTATATATATTAGGGTCATATTAATTATTAGTCAATCAATGTTTTAAATAAAATTGAAGACTGGACATCGATAACGGGCTAAGTGCCAAAAATATAAAAAATTAGCTGAAAATGTGATGTTTATACCATTGCCAACAGCCTTTAATATAGGCTAAACCTAACAATCAATAATAGTTGTGCAAACAAGCTCCCAAGTTTGCACGTGAGCTATGTGCTAGCCAAATGTAGGCTAAAGCGTGCTAAGTGCCCCGATGATGTTACAGTACATTGTGAATTCTAGATAACTCTTCTGATTAAAACCTGATTTCTGTCATGAGTTTGTTGTAACAAGATATTTACTCTTAATATCCAATATTTGACCACTATAGGATTAATTTAAAAAAATTTAGGTACAATCTCTTTTAAAGGTAGTAGTTAAATTTATAAATTTACGTGAATATACTTTCTAAAACTCACTATGAAGAATGCAGTTTTCGGCTTTTATTACACCATATTTTACAATGCTGAAGATGATGAGTTTGGGTTTTTCAACAAAATATATGTTCAGCTGTGCTTCAATTTATCTGCAAATGTAAATTTTGGTCCATTTGGGTTCTTCTTAAACCTTGGAAAATTCTGTTCCATAATTCCTATGTCCTCAAATACAATGTGAAGCCAAACTCTGTTTTGAGAGATCTAATGGTCATTATTCCAGTAAAATCAAAATATCTTGGTCATTACAATAGTAAAACGGACAGTAGACAACAAGCAACTGTTTGTTATTAGTTGGAACATGGAAAAGTTCTGCAGAAATACTTGTATGCATGTTTTAGTAGACATGCAAGTATACGCTGAATTGTAACTCTCGTGAAAAAAAAAGAATTAAAGTGGTAATCTTTAAAGGAAAGTAGTATACTGAGGCTCAAAAAAGCAAGTTTTCAAAAGCAGATATAGAACTTATCTTTTGATGGAACAGCTAAAACCTGATAATGAACTTAAATTAAGAAATACCAAAAGTTCTGAGATTTTAAGAATAGGCACATAGCACGTTTTTACTGAGAAAGGTATGTCACATTGCACAGACTATGTTTTTCTAAATAAAATAATTTTTTGAATCATAAGGAGAATGAATTTCTTAAAAATTACCCAAAAGTAATGTAAATCATACCCTAGGTAGAAAAAAAATAAATAAATAAAATGTTTTTCGAAAGAAAAAAAAAATTATAACTTGAAATAAATATTTTGGTACTTTATTTGGCTCGTCATTCATGTATAGTCTCCAATAGTAAATTTATTTCTATATTCAGTGTGTAATTTAACCCAAATATTAGTTATAAGTAGTTTAACTCAGTTATTTATATTTATTAATAGGAAGGTTTGGAGATCAGTTGCCTCCTGATATTTTCAAACACACTCAATTTCAACATTTCAATGTGATCTTAACTCATCTTCCACCTAAACGTAATATTACTATAATAATACAGAAATAAACCAGACATTTAATAAATAAATGAAAACAAAATATAGTAGACCTTTTTGAGTTTGCTCATAATTCTTAAAATACGTTTAGACAGTGTAAACCACAATTGGATAATTTTATTCATTCTCTTTCCTACAGAAAGAACAAGTTCCTAATCTCGTGTTGAGCTCATAAATAGCAATGTTAAGCCAAGTTTAGAGACAGATCCAAAGCCAACGAGCTCAGTGCTAAGTTTATGACTAGCCATAGTATGAAACCTACATGAAGCAGTTTATTAACAAATAATTACCATGTATTTTATCCTTTCCATATAAATTATATAATTTCCACATTATATTTTTTTTTATACAGATGTTAGAAAATCACAGTCAATTTAATACATGAAAATAAATGTATTATGATTGTATATTACCTTTATAATTTACAGGAATAGTACCTTGAAGATTAACCAAATCTCGGGACGTTCCATCATTAAACACTAAAATAAATAAGTAATTTAAAACCATTCAGTTTATCTTATTATGAATAAGATTTATTGGAATATAAATATATTTATTAACAACTCACCAAAAGGCTCTACCTTCCAATTAAGACCTTTATAGTTTTCCATTGCTTTTATTATTTCCCTTCTTGTGATTTCGGGGTTATTATACTAAAAATAATAATTTTGAGATAGATATAAGAAAGAAAATTTTCTTATCATAATGAAATGGTGTAAATACATCTTGATCTCAGTGAAGATGAAACTTATCAAATATAAATTTAAAATCATATCCACACTTACGAGTCTCAAAGCGTGATCCATTCCAAGCAACATTTATAATATGATTGTACTCGTTAATGGAACTATAAAGTTAAGTTGAAAATTGTTATAGTTACCAATACAATTACGATATATTAAGTCATTAAACTATAAACAATGAAAAGCATTATGTTCAATTATCAATAAAAATCTCGTTTATATTAGTAAGTAAATTTTTATATTATTAATTGAAAAAGAACAATTAAACTATTCCGTAGAATAAAACTTCAGTACTGTCAAGAATGTTTTGGTTAGTTCTACGGGAATTGAGTTGAGTGATACGATTCATCGATACAATATGACATCATAAACTACTATTTTATTTTAAAATATTGAATGGTTGACTATTGATAGGAAAGTCAAGATATTACTTTAACTGAGGATCTAGGTGATTGAATATTTTTTTAATTTATAATAATTAAATATTGTGTTAAAAGTAATCTCTGATCATTCTTTAAATAACACAGTATAAAAAACAAATAAAGTTTCTGATACTAATAACACGTTTGTTAAAAATTTCAATTCAATTAAATACAAAGACTTATATCCAAAATCAGGCCTGGTTAATTGCTCCCGGTCTAAGGGAACAAATTAATTTTAAAATGTTAATCCCTTCCCTACAGTTTTAGTCAGTTTGTATTCTCGTAATCAGCAGTGTGACATGGGTTCTAGTCTTCCTGGTCTAGCCACATTAGTTCTAAATGGCGAACAATTCGAAATATTACTATTTTTTTAAGTTATCTGTACTAAAACTACCAATACTCATTCAAAGCTATGAATCTAAGCTATTCAGAGCCAGATTTTTATTAATAACATAAAATTGTAAAGTCGTCGATCTAATGTTAGGATTTAAAAACGTGTTTCAAACGAAACTGAATTTGATTAATCAACAATTTCATTTTTAACTAAATGTCATAATTTTTTCTCGATTGAGTGATAAAATATTTCTCTTGCTTATCGGTAACTGTTTCATATTGTTTGCCACTATGGAAATTCGAAAGAAATTCTGAGATCCAATATAAATCTTTCAGATTCTTACGAATCTTTGTACATTACTGAAAAACCTTCATTCAGATGTATAGGCGAAGGTGATGGAAGTACACCCCCAAGCAGTCCTGTTCCTGCTTATGGAAATTGGAAGCTTAGATGGAGGATGGTGGAAAGAAGTTTTAAAGATTACGTCGACGCTCATTGATGCAGTAAATGTCTAAATGTGTTGGTTATGGTCATACCAAAACAAAATGCACTTAATAATAATAGATGCTGTTGGGCTATTGGGAGGTTTGCCTGGTTTTGGGAAAAGGATAATAGTGGAGTGTTTCCATAACAGAGGGAAGTGGGTGGTGCGTAGGATACAATTGTAGATATATGTAAGGAATATGACTGCTTTGGATGGAAGTTGTCGAAGGATTTGAGGGGTAAGGAGATCATGTCCAGGAGCTTTACGGGGGATTAGTTTTTTTTTTTAATTGAAATTTCACTTCGGAAGGATGAATAGCTTTTAGGGGCAAGGAAAGTGGGATTGGTGATGTAAGGAGTTCTTCTACTGTTACGGTGTGGGCAGGATGGGATTCCAGATGTGAAATAAATGTATTGGATAGGTGAATGGCGAACTCCTCAGCCTTATCTTCGTCAGATGCTGCCCAGGAGCCATCATCTCGTCGGAGGGGATGGGAAATGCAGTGAGGATTTAGGATTTTTGTTGTGGTTTTCCAAAGGGAATTGTCGCGAGAAGAGAGGGAGGATAGGTAGGAGTTGAAGGATTGGGATCTGAAGGTGGCTAATTCCAGTTTTAATTTTTTGCAGTAATAATTATAGGAGCAGCGGTCGGTAGGATGTCGGGTACGTTGCCGCAATAATCTGGCACGGCGTTTGGTGTGGATTAGGTCAAGGAGGTGTTGGGGTAGAATGGTCTTTTTAGGAATTCTGGAGGAGTCTTTTGGAAAGGAGGCAGTCCAGGCGGCTTGTTTTATTGTGGTAGTAAAGGAATTTACGGCACTATCAAGGTCATCGGGAGTTTTGAGGGATATGTTAAGATCAATTTTATCGGAGATGATTTGGCGGAAAAGGTCCCAGTTAACTGGGCCCCTAATAAATGACGGTGGAGAAGGTTTGGGAACGGGTTCAAGTAAAACGTTAAGGATTAGAGGACTATGGTCAGAGGAAAGTTCATTTAGATATGTAATGGAACAATTGAGGGGACTTAAGCCGCTGTGGATAAAGAAATAAAGAAGATCAGGATTACGGTTGGGATCTGTGGGCCAGTAGGTAGGAGAGTTGGGGGAAAGGAGATGAAAACGTTGGGAATTGAGTTCAGACAGCAGGGTTTGGCCATGAGAATTCGCGGTTCTGGAACCCCATTGTTGGTGCTTGGCATTTAGGTCTGCGCCCAAGATGAAGTGATGCCCTAAGGAATCGAGGAGAGAACTGAATTGGGCATTGGATATAGATCGGTTAGGAGGGCAATACGCTGATGCAAGAGTAACCGGAAAGGAGAAGGTTTTTATCACGATAGCGGTGGACTGTAGGAAATCATGTATAGGTAATGGGAGTACGTGATGGGAGAGGGATTGGTGTACAATTACAGCAGTACCGACATGTGCTTTTCCGTCAGGGTGGTCAGTACGATATGTCAGGTATTGTGGTATTTTGAAGTGCTGTTTAGTGGTTAGTCGAGTTTCAGTAATTAGTGCCACATCAATGTTCTTGTCAAGTAGTAAAGTAGATAGTTCGTCTGTATGATTTCTAATACCATTCGCATTCCAAAGGAGAACGGATATGGGTTTAGGGATGTGAGTCACTTAAGGATTTTTTAAAGGAGGGATGAGATGAGATACCAGATTTGTAAGGAGTGGTATGAGTGGAGTAACAAGGGATTTGAAATCGGCGAGGAAAAATGCTAACAAACTTGTGAGATCTGTTGCATTTGAAGGAGGAGGAATATGAGGAATTTGTTGTTGATGGTTAGGTATATTAGGATGAAGAGGATTTTGATGTTGGGGTTGAGATTGTTGTTGTGGCAGGGCTTGACATTTATCGGTTGAGGTCTTACCTCTAAGTAGTTGGGAGAATGATACATCATTGTTTACAATTCTGGAAGGCTCTCTCTCTCTTCTTGTTCTTAGTGGTTCATTTTGAATCCGGTTTTTCTGGTTTCTGGTTTTGAGATTCTTGTAAATTTGTAGTTGGCCTGGTGTCCCTCCAAGCATAGGGTACATACTGCTGGATCTTGTATAGGTTTGGTGCACTCTACAGATTTGTGCTGTTCACCGCACTTCACGCAACGCGGCAGATGGTGGCAATATGTCTTCGTATGGCCATAGGTCTGACAATTATGGCACTGCACGATGTCTCTCTTGGGGTATGGCTTCTCAACTTTCACCATTGTGTAGTATATTCTTGTGATATCATATATTTTTTCGATACCTGGTGATGACTCCAAGTCCACGAAAAACAATGGTAGTGGAATCCTATTTCGTAATCCTGGCTGCTTCCTGTCCTCCTTCGAAACGTTTGTTACCTGGCGTGCATTGAAACCAAGCGTCGTTAGTTCTTCTTTAATAACTTCAGTGGGGGTTGAGGAGTGTAAATTTCTTATCACTAGTCGTAACGCTCTTTTCTGCCTCCGCTGGTGAGTGTGAAAATTCGCATTTGTTTCTGATAAGTACTTCACTATTTTTCGGTAGGCTTCAGCAGAATCAGGTGTTATTTTGGTTTCATTGGTTCTGTTAAGGCATGAATAACTGCCAGAACAGATTTTATTTAGTTGGGTGCAGAACATCTGGAAATTTTTGATATTTTTCACAAATATCGGAGGAAGCTTAGGTTCTCTGGGTATTGCTGCAGACTCCATTACTTCTCGGTCATTTTGAAGCACTTAGTAGAGGTTTGGAGTAAAGAAAGGCGGTTCTTCAATCATTTCTTGCGAAGCCGTACCTGGTTGGGGCTGAGGTTCTGGTTCTAAAGTATTCACTTTGGTCACTGGAGGTATTTCTCGTAGGCAGCAACGAGTCTTTTGTTTGGCTGGTGAACCACGTGGTGTACTACCGCCGTCTGACCGAGTCCTCTTGGGCACCTTACTGGCCATCATTTGCTGATCATACCGCATATCATTAGAGAAAAATAAAAAGGAAGAAAAAAAAATTAACAATAACAATAAAAAAAAAGATGTCAACAGTAAATACCAAATGCTCTCATGTACACTTTAACTGTATTACGTGAATAATCAGAGAGATTCCGCTATAAAATAGGCAAAAACTGAGAGAGGAGTTGAGAAGACAACCTTCGCATCAGCTGACCCACTGCCTCTTCCTTGTAGATTAGTAGTTTGTTGTGGAATGAACGTTGAGGTTTTCTATTCAATGGTCTATATAGCTGTCCGTATAATCTGTCAAGTTGTTGTGTTTTAAGTCTGGAATGTGGGTTCTATGTTGGTCTTTTATCTAGGAGAAAGCCAAAATATGGAGTTAAAGTAGACTGGTCGACAGGAATTGCGTCGATGGGTAAAAGTGATATGTTTGGATTTGGATTCATTTACTTGGATTCGCCACTTATTACACCAGTCCAGGAATGCTCTCGAGCAATAGTCTTTGCTTTCTAGGGCTGAGGATATATGGTCAACAACTCGGAGCCCTTGTTGGACAGTGGAATGTTGGAAACGAAATCCGAATTGATGGGTAGGAAGGTTTTGGGATTCTACTAGGGGGAGGATTCTTTTCAGTAGGATTTTTTCAAAACTTTTTGAAAGGATAGGGAATAGGCTAATTGGTCTCTAGAATGATGTATGATTGGAAAGTTTGCCTGGGTTCAGAAAAAGAACGATGGTGGAATGTTTTAATAGAGGAACATGGGTAGTTCTTTGGACGCAATTGTATATACATATCAAGAACATGATAGCTTTGAGTAGTAATTGGTGAAGGATCTAAGCCCCTCAGAATAATAGCAGAGTTCAAAACATATGTACATCGGTCTGGCATTTAGATATAATACAGATATATACAAAAGAATCTGGTGTG